AGGGTGGAATTCGTTGGCGGGCTGCGCGCCCGGGCTGGGTGAGGCGGAGGGAGGCCCAGCGAGGCCGTCTTGGTGTCCACCTGTCCGCGCGTCCAGGAGCGGGCTGGCCACTCGCCCAGCTTCCCACGCGTCATTCGCCATGGTGAACCCCCGCAGAGGTGGTGCCAAGCGATTTGTCCTGAAACTTCAGCCTCCACCTTAGTAGTGGCATTTTATTTTCCTTCTGGAATCTAGTTGCATGATAAGTGTTGTTAATGTCCTTTGTTTAAAGTCTTATGGTGGTACTGTTTCTCTTTTGGACAAAGAAATGCTACCCCATCTTTGTGACGTCTTTCTTTTTCTTCCACCACGTTTTATCCAGCCTTTCCCCATCCATCCTGTTTATTATGTTTTATCTTACTGATGCTATTCCGTTGTGCACTCCACGCATTTACTATTTGTTGAGACAAAGGCACCATTTGTTGTGAGGCACCTATCAAAGTTAGTTGATCTCCTTCAAATAGGATAGTGCAAGATGAGGCGCTTATTATTTTGAAACTTTTCTTTATGCTTTGAGTGATTTTGACTTGTATCTCCAAAAATGGAAATACTTCAGTATAAAGAAAAATAGAATTACGAATGTGTGCTTTTAAAGTAGATGGCTTTGACTTTGATATGAGGCTTACTTTGCAAATGTTTACAATTTTGAAGTAGAGAAAATTGTCTTTTGTCAATTAAATGCTATTTAAATACGCATACTTCATTTTCTACAATTACCATATCATTGTAAATAAAATAGTTCAAGAGCAAGCTCACTTGGTTATTCTGATTTATCTTCCCACCCACGGAAGAGTAAACACATGACTGGGGAAACTCCAAGACTAGAAATCAGAGATGTAACAAACTAGTCCCTTTTGTAAAAATGGATCTTGATGTTAACCCTTTGTTAATGATGCATCCTGTATTCATTCCATGAGCCAATGTATTTCTCTGTTTTCATTTCTTAAGAACTTTATAGTAATAATGCTACGTTGTTTTTAAATATACAGTAGTTAAGTGCTTCTGATTGTGTCAAGCATTTTAAGAATTAAACTTTTGGCCAGGCGCGGTGGCTCACGCCTGTAATCCCAACACTTTGGGAGGCCGAGGCGGGTGGATCACCTGAGGTCAGAAGTTTGAGACCAGCCTGGCCAAATTGGTGAAACCCCATCTCTACTAAAAATATAAAAATTAGCCGGGCGTAGTGGCAGGCGCCTGTAATCCCAGCAACTTGGGAGGCTGAAGCAGGAGAATCGCTTGAACCCAGGAGGCGGAGGTTGCAGTGAACCGAGATCGTGCCATTGCACTCCAGGCTGGGGGACGAGAGTGAGACTTCGTCTCAAAAAAAAACAAAAAAGAGAATTAAACTTTTATAAAATATGGTGAGCCTCACACGTCACTTGTTGGAGCACAATGTTAGTACTACTATTTACCGTGTAAGCATTATTATTTTTATGGATCTGATAGTCTAAGATGCATGTGTATCACCTGTCTAAATATGTGATAATATTTGTATTAATTATGATTAACACTGCACACATGTGCAGAAAATGCAAAACACAATAGCTTAAGATAGAATTTTATTTCTCTGGAATCTAAATGTGGGCAGTTCAGGGTCGGTATGGTGCTCCATGATCATCAGGGACCCAGGCTCCCTCAGCTCATTGCTCTGCGATCCTGTTTGTGGTCCAAAATGGCTGCTCCAGGGCCAGTCGTATTTTAGCTAACAGGAAAGTGAAAAAGAGAAGTGGAAGCCCCCCCCCCCTTTCCCTGCATCACATACCCTTTAAGGACACTTCGAGGAAGTTAAACACAATTCCTCTTCCATCCTCTTGGCTAGAACTTAGTCAACATGGCCACTTCTGTGGTGTGGCAGATTACATTTTCCAAAGATGACTACAACAATATCTGCTAGAGTGTGGCGTGGCCACTACCCACTAATGAATTGAAGTCTTATTTCTCCTCCCCCTTGAAAGTGCCTGTGATTTCTCTGACTAATAGAGCATTATTGAAGTCAATTCAGCATGACGGAAGAAGCCAGCCCTGTGCTGGATGCCCTGGCTGAAGTCTTGTTCCATAGAATCGGTGAGCAGAATAAAAAGGTTGTGGTAGGCCCCTAGGTTTTGAGATAATCTGTTACACAGCGATAGCAACTGAAACACATGGCTATTAGGAAAGTTTGGAAATGTAATCTTTATTTTGAGCAGTCATGTGCCAAGTAAACATTTGGGGATTAAAAAGAACCAACTCTGATTGGGCACAGTGGCTCACCCCTGTAATCCCAACACTTTGGGGGGCCAAAGAGGGTGGATTGCTTGAGCCAGGAGTTCGAGACCAGCCTGGGCAACATAAGGAGACTCCATCTCTACAAAAAAAATACAAAAATTGGCCAGGCTTGGTGGTACACATGTGGTCCTAACTGTTCAGGAGGCTGAGGGGGGATGAGCGCCTGAGCCCAGGGAGCTCAAGGCTGCAGTGAGCTGTGGTCATGCCACTGCACTCCAGCCTGGGTAATAGAATAAGACCTTGTCTCAAAAAAAAAAAAAAGTCTGGAGATAATTAGCAATCTCTCTGCCATGATGTCTAACACCTTTTCCCCAGGAATGACAAAATAAAAAAAGCACTACTTTTCCAAACATTAATAAGAGCCATATCTTGTTAATGCCATTTTGTGTTTCCAAATTATTTCTTTTTGTAGATTTATTATATGAAGCATGGTAGACAGCTGTCTGTCACCAACCACAACGCCAAGGTTGTGTGGTTCTCATTTCTTTAAGAATACAGAAATGATTCAATCATGAAATGCCTAATTGGATTAGATGACCCATATAGTCTCTTTCATCCTGAGAGGTTTACAATAGTATAACACTAAAAGAAGCCTTATTGGACTTGGAACATCCTTGCAAACAGCTCTCTGGTAATTTTCATTTGCATCAGTTCTTAAATAAATAACCATGACCTGAAAAAGTAAAGCTTGGTCCTGATATTCCCATTACATTAGCATTGTTCTCAGAACAAATGTTCACTTCTCAAATCATATTCTGGCTTTTATTCACTATCACATAACCTTTTTGGTAATATTGTATGATTTCTTTTGCTTTCATTTTCAGAACATTTCATTTTGAGCCTTTTGAACAGTGGCTTATGGGAATTATCTATCTCATATTCTTTAAAAGAGCATCACTGATATTGATTTTTTGATTGTGGATTTACAAAGCAATTTGCACCAGTTTCTCAGAGAATCAGACTGGAAGCAATGGCAAAAGAACTCTGAGAGCTCAGCATTGAAATGAAAAGAGTGCTACCAAATTTGTTTTCACACCGGGAAATTAAAGAGATACATCAACTTGCTTATACGTAACTGCCAAAAAACAAAGTCAATGGCTTGGGCAAGCAGTACAGAATAATAACTATGACCAATCAATCATGCAGCACTTCCTGTCAATAGTTAAGGTGTTTCCTGATCAAGTCTCTGGGGTGCAAGAAATATATACTGACTCAAGGAGAAAAAAAAGGAGGCAATTGAGAGGATACAGGGCCTGTTCTTGCCCAAGGCTGACTGTGATCATCAGCCTCAATTTTACATACCTTCAGCGTTTCAACACTGACTACAGTTTTGGTGTCTCTGATTCATATTCTCAAGAGAAAATCGAGTTAGTTGGTCTTCACCATCTAGTAGATTGCCTGACCTTGACTGAGGTGGTCTAGTAAGTGTGGCCAGTAGGGGGCCAGATAAGGAAGTGGTCAAGTAGTGTAAATATACGATAAGGACTGCCTCTTCAGCAGCGGAAAATCCTGAATATTGGGACTAGTCCCAATGTTGTAGACGTGGTACAGATACTTCACAACATGCCTGCTAAAAGATGGTCACCCCATCACCTGAAAATCTTACAAACATTTGGACTAAGGGTAAGTAAAATGTTTAATCTCTATGTGCAACTTTGCAAAAGGGTTGCCGCTAGAAGACTAGTGATTCTGAAATTTTACCAAGCATCTGAATCACCTGGAGGGCTACTTAAAACACAGTTGCTGGGCCCCACCCCCAGAGTTTCAGATTCAGTAAGTCTGAGGTGGGGCCCAAGAATTTGCACATCTATCAAATACTCAGGTGATACTTAGGCTGTAGGTCTGGGGACCACACTTTGAGATCCACTATGCTAGATTCACTAAGGAAGAGCTTGTATTCATGCTGAATAGGAAGCTGCTTAAAGCAAATTTTTTCGCTTAATATCAAAGCATAAGTTTTTCTTTGGCTAAATCAGGACGAAATGCATACTTATTATTCTCCTTTAAGGAATCTTGCAAAGTTAAAGAGATTCTAAAAAAGCAACAAAGAATATGTCCTTAAACATCACATTTCATAAGTAGAATACGGGTTTTCTGTTGAGGACCAGGTTGGACACAGAAGTTTATATCTACTCCTCTAAAATAATGGCTAAAGGAACACAGGAAAACTCAAACGGCAAAAAGAACAGGAGAATCACAATAAAAATTAAAAATAATTTTAATTTTTTTTATTATTCAGCCTTAAAAGGAAGGAATTTCTGACACATGCTAGAAGACATTATGCTAAGTGAAATGTCAGTCACAAAAAGACACACACTGTATGATTCCACTTATATGAAGTATCTAGAAAAGTCAAAATTTATAGAAAGAGAAAGTAGAATGGTGGTTGCCAGTGGCTGACTGGGGAGGGGAAAATGGGAAGCTGTTTAATGGGTAAAGAGCTTTGGTTTTGCAAGATGAAAAAGTTCTGGGATTGGTTGCACAACAATGTGAATATAAGTAACTCTACTAACCTGTACACTTAAAATGATTACGATAGTAAACTTCATGTTATGTGTATTTTATCACAAATTTTTTTTAAAAATTAATTTTTTAATTTAAAAAAAGAACGGGAAAAGGGACAAGAACAGATGAGAGTTGTCTACTAGAATTTTGGAAATAACAGCAAGCTGAAGAATGCTGGAACCTAAGCCTGGGTGAAGGGTCAGTGAAAGTAAGCCAACAAGAAGCAAGATCACATCTGTATTACAGAGCATGGAGTCTGAAGACACTGGGTGTCTCTGGAGGGGTGGTAAGGGGTGAGGATTGATTAAACGGCTGTAGAAAGAGCTAATAAT